GGAAACTGCCTTTGAAATATACTACAAAGCCATAACAAGCAAAAGTGTATGGTACTGGCATAAAAATAGACACACAGGCCGAAAGAACAGAATAGAGAGCCCAGAAATAAATCCACGCATTTATAGCTAACTGAGGTGACAAAACATACAATGGATAAAGGACAAACTCTTCAATACATGGTGTTGATGCTTTTACTATTCAAACTAATGTTACACTAACTGCACTGTGTTAGGACTTAATACTATCTACCTTTTACAAATAAATCCAGACAATGCTAACTGATTGATGGAATCTTCTGGCCTGCAGACAGGGCACACCTCTTGTCCCAATTAAGTGATCCAGATGTTATATTCATGGCTCTAAATGGCCTCAAACACTCCAGTTAAGACTAAGTTTACACCACGTTAGAAAATTCCAAACCTCTCATCAGAACCTGCGAAGCACTATGTGGCGTGACGGGTGGGGAAAACAGTGAGAAAGTTGTAGCCGTAAGACAGGCAGTGAGGACTGTGATGCGAAGCAGAGTTAGGATGAAAAGAGGCAGCAGAAGACTGCAGATTATTGGAAAAGTGACCAAGTAGAATGCCGCTTCACAAGTTTGGAGAGAGCTAGTTGTGTAGCCTGGGAACAGATGTCCTCTCTCCACTGCAAAATTAATACCATTTCTTCACCGTGGATGCTTTCAGTCTGTAGCTTAGAGACACAAACTCACTTCAACAGAATTATTTACTCCTAATCACGAAGTGTGCCATTAACCTAGCACTATATTTGTTTACTTCATTTATATATCAAAACAACCCAATAACTTAGGAAGCATCTCCAGTGTCTACCTGAACAAATTGGCCCAATAAAATAAATAAAGTCAATGATATCAATTATAAAAAGTAAAAGAACAATAAGGAAAAATGGGCTTAAATTGGGTTCTTGAATTGAAAGAACTAAATAAAACGTACTAGTGAAATAAAATATAACTCAGTACACTCATTGTGAAGATACTCACATCTGAGAATTACTAGGGGAGCACCCCTAAGTTTTACGGAAATTCTCCTTCTCACCCCTGGGCAGGTCATGGAAATAATGCTGCATGAACGATGGGATGGGAACATTATGTGTGATCTCCAGCATGAATAACAGGCAAGTAAAAACAGAGGATTTGCATGAGGAGATTCTGAACCAGGAACCAGAATATTATATAGAAATGAATTCAACACAAAGGAGATAATCAAGATTTCCTTCAAAATCTTTAAGGTTTGCTTATGTCCATTACTGGAGACAGTAAAGAATTAAAAAAAAAAATCTTTGCCGGGCGCGGTGGCTCAAGCCTGCAATCCCAGCACTTTGGGAGGCCGAGGCGGGTGGATCACGAGGTCAAGAGATCGAGACCATCCTGGTCAACATGGTGAAACCCTGTCTCTACTAAAAATACAAAAACATTAGCTGGGCATGGTGGCACGTGCCTGTAATCCCAGCTACTGAGGAGGTTGAGGCAGGAGAATTGCCTGAACCCAGGAGGCGGAGGCTGCAGTGAGCCGAGATTGCGCCATTGCACTTCAGCCTGGGTAACAAGAGTGAAACTCCGTCTCAAAAAAAAAAAAAAAAAATCTTTGATGTTTGTAGTTTTCTAGTAAATTAACAAGACTATTAAAATGATCTGTTTGTCCGGGCGCAGTGGCTCATGCCTGTAATCCTAGCACTTTGGGAGGCTGAGGTGGGTGGATCACCTGAGGTCAGGAGTTCAAGACCAGTCTGGCCATCATAGTGAAACCCCATCTTTAAATATATATATATATATGATCTGCTTGAATCCAGTCTTGCTATTTTCTTTGTTGTGTGTACTTTGAAAACAGGTAGACACCCACACTCACACAAACACAATTGCTTGCTCAATAATTCTCTTAAACCTAAAGTTTATCTCTATTGTGTTTGGGTCTTGTTTTCTTAGACAAGGGTACACTTTGCTGCCCTGGCTGCAGTGCAGTGGCATGAACACAGCTCACAGCGGCCTTCATCTCCCAGGCTCACATGGTCCTTCCACCTCAGCCTCCCGAGTAGCTGGGACCGAAAGTGTGCACCACCACTCCCAGCTAATTTAAAAAAATCTGTAGAGACAGGTCTCACTATGTCTCACTATGTTGCCCAGGCTGGTCCCAAATTTTTCAGTTGAAGTGATCCTCCCATATTGGCCTCCCAAAGTGCTGGGATTACAGATGTGAGCCACCAGGCCCAGGCTAGTTTATTTTTACAGTTATATATTTGTATATTTAACTCCATATAAATCCAAACTAAAACTCTCTGTGTGTTTTGCAGGGCAGAGGGTTTGTACATCCAAGAAAAAAATACAGGAAAAAAATTTTAAATTACTCAGAAACATATATATTTTATTTATACTCCTGTAAATCTTTATTATAGCAATAGTGATTCTGTAATTACAAAGAAAAGTATAAAAAACTATGACAACCATAGTTACTTGCAGTTAAAAAGTCACTGGGAATGAAGATCACTGAAGATGTTACTCCACTCTGCCATCTGATAGTATATTGTTACCGTCTGTTATTGACACCATTGAGTAAGATGGAATTGATTTTTGGCAGGATAATGCTTTATTCCATGAGCACCAGACCTAACACATTTAACACAATTATGTTCAATTAAAAACAAACTAAGTTCCCACAGAATCTTAAAAAGCATTTCAAAACTTACAGTATATTAGCATAAAGAAATACTGCTAAAACCAATGATTTATAAAATTCAAAATGATATTTTTTTCCTATAATGCAGAAGACTATTAAACGCTTAACTCATGAATCACGTACAGGTATATAAGACAACTACAAAGAGCCTTTCTAGCTAGATTTTACTCACACGTCTTACATTTCAGCATCTTTCACCTTTCATGGAAAAGTGTATCAGTGATGCACACTTAATATAAAATAACTTCTCATATCTCTGATGCAGCAAACATTAAGCATGTGTTTTCACCCCAGCACTAGAAATAAAGACATAGCATCAATTGATTTGAGAGTTGAATTACATCAATGTTCGTTTTTCAAAATATTTAACATGTTTTCAATGCAAAATAGTGTGTCTTGAATGTACTTATAACTCTACAAAAAATAAATCTCACCCTCCTTTTAAACTTAAATGTGAATGAATGATCTGTTTTAAGTCCAGATTACTCTGTAGACTCAACACTGATTCAGTGTCATCTCTGAACATGTCAGTGCCCTGTTCCTTTCTCTCTCTCTAATGTTTACTTAGATTTGATTTTGCTTATTTTTCTGATATACTGCACTTGAAAAATACCTTTTGGTATGAACCCTGGTGTTTTCTTTTCTTTCTTTTTTTTTTTTTTTTGAGACGGGGTTTTGCTCTTGTTTCCCAGGCTGGAGTGCAATGGCGTGATCTCGGCTCACCGCAATCTCCGCCTCCTGGGTTCAGGCAATTCTCCTGCCTCAGCCTCCTGAGTAGCTGGGATTACAGGCA